CCGGCCTCATGTGGCGAGAGTATGCAGGCAGTTCCTGGAGGATGAAGGAATTGATACCATTGAATGGCCCCCACGCTCGCCTGACCTTAATCCAATAGAACACCTCTGGGACATTATGTTTGGGTCCATCCGACGCCACCAGGTTGCACCTCAGACTGTCCAGGAGCTCAGTGATGCCCTGGTCCAGATCTCGAAGGAAATACCCCAGGACACCATCCGTCGTCTCATTACAGACGTTGTCAGGCATGCATACAAGCACGTGGGGGCCATACAAACTACCGAGTACCATTTTGAGTTGCTGCAATGAAATTTCAGCAAAATGGACTAGCCTGCTGCATCATTTTTTCACTTTGATTTTCAGGGTGTCTTTGAATTCAGCCCCTCTGCAGGTTGATCATTTTCATTTCCATCAAACAATGTGGCATCCTTTCGTTCCTAATACATTACACAGTCCATATCAGTATAGATATCCAGCATGATATTTGCCCCCATTGAGATCTGATGTGTTTTCAAAGTGTTCCTTTAATTTTTTTGAGCAGTGTGTTTTGTTTACATTTTTCTAATAATCAGAATGGTATGATACTTCATGATTTTAGTCACACTTGGGAAAAGGCTAATTGGTCTTAAAAAGTAGCCATACCTGTATTCTCATTGGTCTAGCATAACCCCAATAGGAAATGAAAGGAAATGAATAAACATATGTTTAAACACATAAACAAATCAGGAAAGCAAGTGTTCACCACAGAGTGCACCGCAGCTCAGTCTGGAGCTCAAAACAACTTCAGAGGTGAGACCTTCTGAAGTGATAGTTTTAGTTTATTCCGACCCTCTCAAGGTCTGCCCACATGCACACAAGCGCAGCCCTCAGCCTACAATGTTGACAAATGGTCTGGCCACTGCAGGACCGCTTGCAAATTGCGTGATCAGAGAGCGAATTTGGGATGTTCAGAATTAGCTACTCACCGCATACTCTCTTTCAAATGAAGCACAAGCTCACAGACTTAGCCTGGCTTTATACTGTGAAAGCTTGATGATTCAGGCCGTGCAAACATACACATAGGCACATACTGTCCTTGGTGACCTACAGCAGTGCAGACAGAAATGCACCCTGGGTGAGGAGTGACGATGATGTCTTGTGTATTGTGTGAGTGTGAGTGTGTGTGTCTTTTTTGTAGTGTTAGCAGTGTTTTTCCTTACTGTTAGCTGACTGAGACTCTTATGCAGAGTGCTGTGCTGTACTTGGCCTGCAGGCATTTAACAGCCACATCCAGATAATAGACAGTCCCACCTTAGGGTCACACTTTAGTCGTTTAGAAAAACTAATCTGGCTTACGCTGCGTCTTCCTCTTAAAATAGTTTGATAGGATGTGTGTCATTCAGATAGAAGTCACTAATCCTCTTGCCACATCTATTCTGCATTCTTTTCCTGTCAGTTCACACAACCATCATGTTCAGATCCTGGAGATCAGATAGCAGGTCTTCACATTATGTAGTTCTGCTGCCATTCTATGTGTATTCATCCCTTTTGTCAGCAGTGACCCAGTTCGGAGCTAGACTGTGTTTACACAAGCCCAGAGGCAAAGTAGTGAACCGGAAGTGTATGTCTGCTTTAGGAATCCTTCACTAGTGGTTTGTCAGTGCAAGCATCACTATTGCTTATACCTAGGGTTAGGGATTTAAACAGTCTGATTTCTTTAAGTGATGAAACAGACAAAAAATCCAATAGAAATACACTGGCTGCACATTCTTGCACAATAACACCCTGGAATTATTCTGAACTTTTCATTGTTCTGATTATGTAAACATCATGTAAAAGCATTAACCTGATTGTCATAACCAGATTAATCCAATATTCCAATTTTTATCTGAATAAGACAACAGGTTTATATTTATAGGACCATTTTATATATACATACACACACACGTGTGTGTCTGTTAGTGTTGTCAAAAGTACCGACCACGATACCATTCGGTACTGAAATTTTAAAAACGTCCATTTCCCGTTAAGATTTGAGCGCTGTTGAGCAGATTCTGAAGCAATGATCATTGAAGCGATGATCATTAAAGCCAATCACAGTCGTTTCTGTTGAGCACGTGAACTCAATGACCAATCAGCTCTGTTTAAGAATCTGCTCAACAGCGCTCAAATCTTAGTGGGAAATGGACGTTTTTAAAATTTCAGTACCGAATGGTATCGTGGTCGGCACTACTGTCTGTATGCATGTATAATAATTTGGACGTATATACTGAATGAAGACTCTGGTAGATGTAAACATCTGTTACAATGGTAGACACTGTAAACAGACTGTGTTGTCACATCTATGAATATGGGACTATTGATGTAAACTACTTGTGTTTTGTATGTACAATAGGCAGAATAATTGCAAGAAAAAGAAAAAAAGGTGGAGATAAGGTTAGAAAGCATGAAGCTTGCGGTTTCAGAATGCCAGTCTGAAGCCTGAAGCAGGACACAACCCATAGTAACACGTTATGGCAATGATATCTCGTATAGTCTGATGCCAAATAAAAATAAACGGTTAATAAATGACTTTCAAGTGATTACTTTCAAAAGAGTGTATTAAATATTGTAACCGCGCAAGAACAGACCTCATTAGATCTTGAGCATCATGCTCATTTCGGCAGCTTTTTTTCCCCTTTTAATGGGGTTAGCAAAAACCCACTTGAAGGACATGACAAAATCAATAATGGTGGCTTTGACCGTTACAGATTTGAAAACAAAAACTGGAAAAAAGAGCCCTAAGAAGTATTGTCCCATCCTCTGCTGGGAAGGAAATATAGAGATCGTACCTCTTGGAACTTTAATTAAATACTCCTGCCATAGATTCCTTACCTCGAAAGTAAGGGTACAAAGCTTCCATCACAAATAACTATTAAAGACTAATAAATTGACCAGGTGAGAGCTGCCTTTTCTAAACACTTTTTTTTTTACACAAACTATATGTAAATGGATCATTTCTGCTTTCATTTCTGGGGCTTGATTGTGCCTCCTCTGGGCTTTCAAAGTCTGTCCAGAGTAGTGCTTAAGGTGTGATAATGGCCCGAGGCAAAGATTATGAAGGAGAGGGTTAGTGCTGCTGCTCATTTTTCATTTTTTCATATACAATTACCAGCTAATATCAACACTTAATATATTTAAAACCATTTTCAGCTAAAAACGGACAATGAGTGTTTGAAATGAATTGCTTTCTGATCAGCTTGTGAGATTTTTATGCAATGCTAAATGTTATGTATGCTAACCATTGCCATAATACTAGAGATGCACCGATTGCAATTTTCTTGGCCGATTCCGATTTTTTTTTTTTTTTTTTTAAGTGTGACCTGCCGATACCGATTTTTGCCAATTATAATTGACAGCATATGCAAACAAAAATCTGATTTTTTCAATGCAAACAAATATTTATTGACATAATAAAAGTAATTATTAAACATTACAATTCCCCCAATTTGGAGAAAGTTACAGATGATCTCTCACTTGAACAACTGCTGTATATAACAAAACAGGTGTCATTTCCCACTTTGTTTATAAATGATCATTTTTCCCCCCTAATCTTATCAAATGTCAACTTTCACATCAAATTCTTACATTGTTTCAATTAATTCAGTTAGAATAATAAGAAACTGTAGAGTTTTTACCATTCAGATGAAATCAGCATAAAAAAACTTCCCATATTTCCACTGCAGGAAACACAGAAGCTGCATCTGTGCATTTACACAGACTGTTTGAATAAGCTGAGGTGCCATAAATGCATTTATACCGCAAAATTGCAAATGCATAAATAATTGTACAAGATAAATGTTTTAAATATTTTTTTAAAATACAAATAAGAAAGGTTGGAAAAATACAACAATGCTTTTATACAGTGGTGGCCAAAATGATTAGAACACTAGTATTTCCACCAGCTAAAAAATGGTTTCAAGTCAGTTATTTCTATCCTTTGCTGTAGTGTTTCAGTAGAAAATATCAATTTACATTTCCAAACATTCATTTTGCCATTTTTGTTTTTTGTTCGCACAAGGAGTCTGACAGCAGCCAGTGCTCCACACAGAGATCTGATCTGATCATCATCCAGTCTGTCTGGAATGACATGAAGAAACAGAACAAACTGAGACCGACTAAATCCGGAAGAACTGTGGCAACGGCTCCAAGATGCTTCAAGAAACCTTCCTGCAAAGCTCCCTGAGAAACTATGTGCAAGTGCACCAAGGGCAAAAGCTGCTTTAAACGCAAAGGATGCTCACACCAAACTGGTGGGAGGAGGTCTCAGTTCTGTTTCTTCATGTCATTCCAGACAGACTGATGATGATCAGATCAGATCTCTGTGTGCAGCACCGGCTGCTGTCAGACAAAAATCACTGGATTATTACAATTAATGGCAAAATGAATGTTTGGAAATGTAAACTGATATTTCCTACTGAAACACACTACAGCAAAAGATAGAAATAACTGACTTAAAACCATTTTTTAGCTGGTGAAAATACTAGTGTTCTAATCATTTTGGCCACCACTGTATATGAAATCAAACCACCAGTAAGTGGCGGCAAATTACTGTTTTAATGAGTCAGTCATTTAGTCATTCATTCAACCCATTCGTTTAAACGGCTGATTCATTCAGAATCGAGGCATGTGACTGTCTTTATAAATCAATGACTCACTCGATTCGTTCAAAAACGTGGATTCATTCAGTAACAAAACACTGCTGTGTGTTGCTTGGAGACACAACAGTTCTGCTGTGGCTTTGATTGGAACTATTTTCGTCAGCGAAATTGAGCAAAAACCGTCAATATTGGTCACTGGTCACAAATTAAGTCACTTAATTTTAACTTCTTTTTTATTGAATTAAGATTGTATAAAATCAGTGTCACATTGCAATCATTTTAATATTTGGGGAAACATCTTGGTTGTGTAAATCAAATATTATAAATATATTTTTTTTCTACCGCAGTATGCATCTAGAACTCTGTGTGTACATTTGCGCTCATTTGTTTTGATTTCTGCACAAATCTCTCTCTCACACACTCACTCAGGCTGCGCGAGCCTCATGGCACAACATAAATACATTATCAGTCTGTTTACACTGAATGCAATAGGATCAGAATCATTCTTGCGCGAAAATTTTTGGTGGTCACGTTTCAGTGCTTCCCTAGTTGTTTTTGTTATTGACATTTTCATCAGGTTTTTTGTCCAGTCGGGCAAGTAAAATTCTCTCTCACTTGCCCCTTTAAAAAATCTACTTAGCGTTAATCGAGCCCTTTGGTTCCCCCATGGTATACTTTGGCCCTACACGTATTACAAATTGCGAACTTTGTTTCTTCTTCACTCACAGTGAAGAACTTCCATCCCGATGACGTGTTTACATGCAGATGTGAGCATAGGTGTGATGTCAAAACAGACCGGCTCGGAATCGGCAGACTGACCGGCCGGTCACCGGTCCGGGCCGATCATGCGGAAAATCTGCTAATTCCGGTCCCTGGCCGGTCGATCGGTGCATCTCTACATAATACAGTAAATGCACATCACTATAAAAATACCTAAGCTTGCTTGAAGACGAATGATAGATTATAATAATTGTTTATTTGGTTTCATATTTCATTTTTCAATGTCTGTCTCTTCCCTGTGCCTCTGAAAGAGAGCGGGAGCGAAACTGATTGCAGTAAACATGAAATTTTTTCTCTCTCAACAAGCTATTCTCACAATTTTAATGTCATTATTAGCACCAAAGTAACAGTTTGTCAATTACATGTAGGTCAGGTATGGAAAGGAATAAATATGATTATTCAAAATGTCTTTGTTTTCTAGGTGGGTGTTCACGGCATTAGGATAGAATTTTTTAATGAAAAAGGATCAAAGCGCACCGCCACCTACCTGCCAGAGGTTGCGAAGGAGCAAGGTGAGAATAAAATACACTTGCCTAATTTCTGTCCATGATGTCTTCAGTTACACTGTAACAGCAGAAATAAGATGCAGACCAAAAAGTAACAATCAGTATGAAAGAATATAATTGAATTTCTGTCTCTATAGGATGGGACCACATTCAGACCATAGATTCCTTACTTCGAAAGGGAGGTTACAAAGCTCCCATTACAAATGACTTCAGGAAGACTATTAAATTGACCAGGTGAGAGAATTGCCTTTTCTAAACTGTTTTTTTTTTTTTAAATCACAGGCTATTTATAAGTAGATGAATATTTTAGTACTTGTGTCCAGTGCCACAAGACAGTGTTGGGGAAAGTTATTTTTAAAAGTAATGCATTACAATATTGTGTTACTTCCTAAGAAAATAACTAATTGCGTTACTTAGTTACTTCTTATGGAAAGTAATGCACTATGATACTTTTGCATTGCTTTTTCTCATCTGGTCTGTGCTTGCTTGTTTTTAATATAAAAACAAAATCTATTTTTGGAAAAAGTCAGGCTGAAGAAAATGTAAAAATTCAACACTCTTCAGCAATAAAAATATTAAACACAAAATGTCTTCTGTTTTTATCTAAAGTCATTTTTGCTTTTTAGTGTGGTTGAATTGGATCATCGAAGGTCAGAAGCAGAGACAATGGTTAATAAAATGTGGTTAAATACATGAAGGATATTTGTGCTATTTAACTTATTTAATTATTGCAGGTTTGTGTCATATTCTGAGTTTGCATTTCAGTTAGTGCTGTCAAACGATTGATCGCATCCAAAATAAACGTTTTTGTTTGCATAATATGTGTGTTCTGTGTATATTTATTATGTATATATACAGTATCTCACAGAAGTGAGTACACCCCTCACATTTATAATTTATATTAGAATAAATATATTTAATATATAAAAATAAAAATTTTCTGAAATATATACATGCATGTTTGTGTATTTATATACATAATAAATATACACAGTACACATACACATATTATGTAAACAACAACTTATTTTGGATGCGATTAATCGCGATTAATCGTTTAACAGCACTAATTTTAATTTATGTATTCATTTTGAGAAATACTGAATCTGTTAAAAAAAAAAATTGCGTTTCCTTTAAATAAATTAAATTGCATTTAAAATTTACTTGGGGATAAAATTATACCTATATGCAAAATACAAGGGGACCATCGCAACTGGCCCACCTTTACAGGTCCTCCGCCCTGCACCAACTGTGAGCCAGTGGCATCCTTTTTTCTCTCCTTCTCTCCTCCTTTCAAGCACCAAGTCAAGGATTGGCTACATCTCTCAACTGTACAAGGGTTAGTGGTTACAGCCGGTCGTCAGATGGGCACCCCCCTTCCTTGGTGTTTCACCGATTTAAGCCCATGACACCTCGGGAGGGCTCAACAGCAGATCCAGTGTCCTGGATCTAGCCCTGCTGACCACCACCCTACTCTGTCATTGTTCGTCCTTCAACAGGTTGGCTCTGCCACCGCACTTCCCGCTGTATCCAAATCCAATGAGATGCTGTTTCTGCCTGTTCGGTGACCTTGCCTACCAGCCATTTCCTGGCCATCCCTTCAATCCCTAGCAGCCCAAGGGTTCTCCAGAGTGACTGCCCAGCAAAACCCCTGCAGCCGACCTCTATTGGTAAATTCCAGGCCTTCCATCCATTTTGCTGGCTCCTGAGGATAAGGCCTTGATATTTCTTGAGCTTGCGCTCATGGGCCTCCTCCATCCTTTCTTCCCAGGGTACTGTTTACTGTATGAGCACCACCTGCTTGGTGCCTCTAGACCAGAGGATAAAATCCGGTCTGAGGCTAGTGTGTGCTATCTCCTCTGGGAATTTGAGCCACTTCTTCAGGTCTGCCCGCATCTCCCAATCATTTGCTGAGGCCAGGACCCCTCTACTCCTCCGTCCTGCTGCAGTGCTCTCTCCTGTCCTGACGAACTGAATAAAATGGTGCCCGTCGGGAAGTTGTTTAACCTTCTTCCTTGCCTGTTCCACACCATCCACCAACTGAGACCGGATCTTATCATGACGCCACCGGAATTTCCCATCTGCCAAATTTGACTTTTGGATGCGATTAATCGCGATTAATCGTTTAACAGCACTAATTTTAATTTATGTATTCATTTTGAGAAATACTGAATCTGTTTTTGTTCAAGGAAGATGAGTAAATGCATGTTGACATTTAGTCTAGAACTACAGCAAGCATCATGTTCACACAGAGCCTCTGCACTTACCCCTGATTTCTGTCAACATGAGGACAGGACAGCTGTCAGTAAATAAGCAAGTAACTGGCTTTACTTATTTGAAAAATTCTCAGATACTCTCAAAAACTCAATATTTTCTTTAAATTTCTTCAGATAAATTCTTTAGATTAAAAAGTAATGTTATTTTACTAGTTACTTGGAAAAAAAGTAATCTGATTACATGTGTTATTCCAAACTAGGCACGTGACGGTATCAAATTTTCATATATATACTGTCCTGACGAACTGAATAAAATGGTGCCCGTCGGGAAGTTGTTTAACCTTCTTCCTTGCCTGTTCCACACCATCCACCAACTGAGACCGGATCTTATCATGACGCCACCGGAATTTCCCATCTGCCAAATTTGACTGGCATGCTTAGAGGACATGTTCAAGGTTGGCTTGCTTTCAACATAATGTGCAGCTGGGGCTCTCTGCCATCCCCCAAATATGGAGGTTTGATGGAGTAGGCAGAACATCATAGACAGAACACATCAAGAACTTTATCTGGCGTCCTTCCATGGTCCAAATATCCTGCCATGTCAGGGCCCTTTCTCGTACACCCTCCCACCTTGTCCAGCTGCCCTATTTTTTCATGGCAACAGCCTTGACATGCCGGGTTTCCTTCTCCTGCCTTACGGACCTCCCTCTGTATCATGCTGCGGCGTTCCTTTGGGTCAGCTTTGTTCCAGATTGTTCTGGTGAAGCAACCCAGTCCAAGCCTGCCCTGAGCTACTGTCCCAATGATGTCGGCATGCTGCAGCCGATCCTCAGCCTTCGTCAGTACTCTGCTGGCTGACCACTTACGACCTGTCCTGACCACAATGCCTGCCTGGCGTACTCTTTCATCCTTGCTGTCTCGCAGCATCATGGCCTGGCGTGTCTTTGTTGCTTTATACTCCTTGAGCACTGATGTCACTGCCAGCTGAAGCTTGCTGCCTGTGCTGTACAGGCCAATGGAGCAGAAGCTTTTTGGGACACCCAGCCACCTCCTTAAATGGGTGTTAATCTTCCTCTCCGATCCCTCGACGGTAGAGACAGGTACCTCATAAACAAGCAGAGGACAGAGCAGTCTAGGAAGTACCCCATGTTGGTAACCCCAGGCCTTGTATTTGCCGGGTAGGCCACTCTTCTCTAAGGATGTCATCCAGGTGTCTACTTGGTTAATCATCTCCCTCACACTCTGCTTATCGTTGAGGTCTGTCCTATACCTGAAGCGGAACCGGTCCTGAATGTGCCCCTTCCCCAATACCAGGCTTCTGGACTTTTTAGGTTTAAACTCTATCCTTGCCCAATCGGTGAGTTCCACCAGAACCTCCAAAATCCATCTGCCTTCAGGTACTGATTTTGCCATGATGGTGAGGTCATCCATAAATGCTCTTATAGGTACCTGCTGGATGCCATTGGCCAACACTGCACCCCGCTGCAACTTCTCTGCTGACCTAACGAGAAGGTTCATCGCTGCCGAAAACAAGATCACTGAAATCATGCAGCCAGTGACAATGCCCACCTCTAGCCTCTGCCATTCGGTGGTGAAATCTCCACAGGTGAAGCGCATGTAGAAGTTGTCATAGTAGCACTGCAAGATCTTCTGGAAACGCTCAGGGACATGGTAGGTTTTCAACGTCAAATCCACCAACTTATGAGGTATCGTCCCATACGCATTTGTTAAATCCAGCCACAGAACTGCCAGGTCATCACGGTTCTTCTTTGCATCTTCGATGATCTTAGTGATTATGCTGGTGTGCTCAAGACAGCCCGCTACCCCTGGAACTCCCCACTTTTGGACGGACATATCCATGTACCCATTGTCCAGCATAAAGGAGGTCAGCCTCTTCGCCAGAATCCCAAGAAAAATCTTGCCTTTGACATTGAGGAGTGAGATGGTACGGAATTGCTTGATTTTCTTCCTTAGGGATGAAGCATCCCTCAGCGACCAGCCAACTGTCAGCGAGGAAATCCTTCTTCCATGCTACTCTCAGTAGCTTCCAAAGTCGTCTTCTGAGCCTCTCACAATATTTATACACCTTGTACAGAATGCCATTGGGCCCTGGGGCTGATTTTGCTCTGGCCTTCCTGAGAAAAGTGTTAATCTCCTGCCAGCTCGGTTCCTCAGCTCAGAAGGGGGATAGCTGGTTCTGTTGGTTTAATGAGTTACCTAAACTATAGGGAGCCCTTTTACATTACTATAAGGTTACAGTTGACAACAGAGCCCAAACTTAAATAAAAAAAAAAAAACTATAATAATCAACATTCAAATTTGTATGCAAACATGCAAATTGCACATAGTGCAGTTTTTAAATTAACTTCTAAATTATACAATTTCTTTTTGTTGTTGAAATATAATCATTTACACAGTGGCTATCATAACTTGTTTCATAAAAGATTTATTTAAACATGCATTAGACATCACTAACAGGCAAAGTAAAATATGATGAAGTATAGTCTAATATTTTGCTAAATGCTCTTCTCTAGACTTTCTTTCTCTAGCAAATAACGAGCTGTAGACACTGATGATTTACCTGAGGTAAATGAAATGCTACGTGACATTTTGTTTACAAGCTGTTTTAATGACTACTTTCCGCAATTGAAACACTGAGCTATTACATGAGATGTTCATTCATGTTTATTTCGCATTAAAACTAATAGTAAAGATGAAGGGATGATCGCGCTCTGTGCTGCCTTTAGAACTAAGACTTCTATACAGCGATCTCTCGCCACATCAAAGAGCGCCAAAACTGCATTTATTGTCTGAATTTCCTGAAAAAATTGAGTGATTTGTTTGGCACACGTGTACTGAACCAAAAGACCCGTACCGAACATTTTCGGTTCGAATATGTGTACCGTTACACTCCCAATAATAATGTAAATCTTCTGAAGACATAATATAGCTTTGTGCGAGGCTGCTCTATATTTAAGTTGCTGTTGACTGATAATCATCCACTCTGCCATAGCTCTTCAATCACTCATGACATGCAAATTATTAAGTAATGACACATTCAGTTTTTAAAGACACATACATATACATTTAACTTGTTTCATATAAAATTTACAGCAGCATATTAAAATTAGAATGATGCAATCAATTACACATCGTTGTCAGTGCATAATTTTTTAACCTTTATATGGAGTCTTTCACTGTTCTGATGCTTACCCCCTTTTTTCACCATTGTTTTAGGTACCGTAGTGAAAAGATGACCATGAGCTACGCAGAATACATCGCCCACCGCCAGCATCATCACTACCAGAATGGCATCGGGCACCCTCTCCCTCCGTACAACCATTATTCCTGACAGCGAGCCGCATGACCAGTCACTGGACCTCTCGGCGGACATCTTCCCGGGAGAGCCCGCCCCCTCGTGGTCTAGCTATCTGTACTACTGTACCATTTTATGATGATAGTTTCCGTTGCCATGTCGACAGTCCGTTGGAGGCATGGCAGCGGGTGGCAAATAAGCATTAGGTGATTATAAAGCGAAAAACTACAATTCATTTATTTTGACATTTTTATTCTTTGTATTAATTTTGTTTTTGCAGCATATATATATATAAATATATATTAACCCCTTCCCTTTTTAAGCAAATAAACAAGTACTAAGTTTTTTTTTTTTGTTGTTGTTTCAACAAATTTCCTAAAATCAGGTTTCTTAGTCTGTGGATGGAAATAAGTCATATTAAATGATGGGCTAGTTTTGAAGATGCTTGTTATGTACGCTCCGCTTTAGTGACTTGCGCAATTTTGTTGTTGTTGTTTTCCCTCTTTTATTGTTTTGTATTAGTTTGACATTTATATCATATAGGCAACCACAGGGTTTAAGGGATTCTCTTTCCTCTCTGTGCAATTCCTCTGATCATTTTCTTTTGTGAGTGGTGATTTTGTTTTCCTTCCTCGTTTTATCGTGAGCAGTGTTGTGGGTTGTAGGGATATGCAGTGTGGCCGAGTTAGAACTAGTCAAGTCTTGCTTTTGTTTTCCTCAAATTCTCCGATTATTGAAACCACTATCTTAAATCAGTTTTTGGGTACCGCAGAATATTTTCCCCATAATGCAAAAGGCTGTTGCTCTTAGCATTACTGGAGTTGATTTGAACTGAATTTATTTAGATGAACAGTTAGGCCATTTTTTGTGTAGTGTTGCTACACACATTTTAATCCAAGTGTCTCTTCTTTTGTTGATGTGTTGTGCTAGTGTCGTTTGTGAGGTTGAAAGTATAGCTCTGTACTAAGGGTGTAATTGAATGAAGGCTTTTCTAGTCAGTTTTTGCTCACAACAGAAATGCGTCTGTTTCGTAACGCTCCTATTTAGTCACACAGAGAGGAAAACCTTTGTGAGAGACCAAGGTCAAATGACAGAGACAAGCTAAAAAAAAAAGCCATACTCTTTTTAACGCATGCTGTGGCAGGGTGGTTGCTCTAAATGGCTGTTTTTAATTCATTTCTCTCCTGGTCTGTTTACCTGGCACGGGAATCTTCACTCTCAGGAGGATGCTTAAGAAAGCTCTTTGTTTTGTTTTGAATGATCTGGTCTTACGGATGAATATGTCCATTTCTGTCTCGCATGGCAGCAATGTTTACACCTCCATACGAACGCGTGAACTGTACAGTGGCTGTAATTGAGAAGATAACTTACGGATTCTCGAGTCAAGCTGCTCTGGTGGCGTCTGAACCCCTCCACATCTCGCAGTGAAGCTTGTTTCAAAAATGTCGTCATGCCACACCAGGGAGTTTTTAAACTACGGTTGTAAGTGTTTTCATAGTTTTCTCACAGACAATTTGTTAGGCCCATTTTAAACTCTTGCTCTGAAAGGTGTCAGTGTTGTTGTTTTTTTCAAAGACCAGGATGTAGACTGAATATCACGTGTCATATTGTCTGTAGAAGCAGTGGACTCGCTTTTGACCACTTCTGAAAGGAAAATCGGGAACGATTTCTGTCTTTTGTTTTCATATGCAAAATGTTAAGGGCTTTTGGGGTTCCATCCACAGTCATTACCCAGCTCACTAAAACCTAAAAAAATAACCTGATTTCAGTTGTTTTGCCTTAAAATGGCTATGACGTAGACCAGCAAACATCGCCCTGAGTGCTCAACTACCTTGAGACTGATCATTTCACAATGTGAAGGTTTTGCGTGAAGTTTTTTATTTTTTGCCTGTTACCCAGTCAAGTGTTTATTACTGCCCAGCCGTGTTTTTCATTTGTTTAATCTAAACCCCACCTTACCAGGAAGTAGGTCACAGTTATGAAAAGTGACACTTTTGTTGTCTCTTGGTCTTAAACAACCCTTTAAATATCTCTTTTTGTTGGCCTCCGTGTTTAGCCTGGTTTTAGCTGGACGTTCAGGGCGTTGTTTGTTGGTACATTAAAACAGCACAAACTGAAATTTTTTTCTGCTGCAAAACCAACTCTCTGCATTTGAAATCGGATGTATTGACATTTGCAATACATTTTTTGCATGAATAGGTGGCCTCCTGTTAAACATGGCATGCTTGTTTCACTGCTACATAGATATGAGAGAAAAAAAAAAAAGAGTATATAAAATGGTGCTATCGGACCTCATGTCGGGGGGGTGGTCGCAGTAAATGTGACTGGTCATGCGGACTCATTGATCATATCAGACTTTATTATTATCCTCAATATATGCAGATCTGTTTTACAGGTGTTTTTTTCCTACCAGTGTATCAAACTCCTCCTGCAGGTTTGAAAGGACAAGTAGTGACGAGTCTAACCCCATCTTTCCCTCATGGCCTGGGGGATTCGGGCATATGCTTAACATCTCATCTGTTCTAGACGTGCACATTTACGCAATACCCTGGAGTCTCGCTCTTCGTTTCCGTCGTTAAATGCTGTGGATGTTCGCGTTCATGTACATTGCCATTTTGAGCGATGGCTGGCTTGACTAGCTGAACGCCGTCGCCTAAATATGGCCAAAACTGCAGTGCTGAGTTTACTTTGCTAACAACATTTGTTCAAATATCATCGGTTCATTCGATTGCGAGCGACACGGTGTGCTGAAAGACACGTCGGTTCCTTCGTTTGTTTGTTTTTTTGGTTCTGTCAGATACGTCTGTACATTTTACGTTTTGCAAAATCGGTTTTTTTGAAAAGACTGCAACCGGATCTAAGTATTTTCATGATTCCTAGAGTAGTTTGAACATGCACTTTGAGGACATTCGCAATCCCAGGCACATTTGAACACTGTTGAAACTCTCAGTACCTGACCTGCATTTACGTTGCTCAAAGACAAGTTCAAAAACCAATTTCACGCTATGTCGTCTTTGAGTTTCTGTCATTTCTAACAACACAACTGGGATTAGTGTTTGGTATGTATAGCAAATGCTCATTTAGGCATAAATGTTGGGTTGGAACACCTACGGACGAGCTTCGCGCTCGCTGTCGAACCCATCGTCGTTTGGCTCATGTTACCTTTGTGTGTTCAACCGAACCAAAGATGCCTCCAGCCATGTCCAAATGCTGCTCTACAGACCTGCCTTCCTGTCCTTCCAAAAACCTTCCCTGCAAGAGAAATGTCTTGTGTTTCTGTGTGTGTGTTTTTTTTCTTTTCTTTTGTACAATTTCTAATGTTGTTTTAGGATTTTAGCTACCTAAGTTCAATGAATTTTCATTGTAGCTGTCTTTGAGACCTTGCGCGGTGTCAATGACCGTAATACTAGGTTGCACTTTTTTTTTTTATTTTGTTTTCATCATTGTTGTTATTATTATTATATTTTTGTAAAGAAAGAAAACCCCATAGCGTGCCTCTTAGATTTATGGGTTTCTTAATGTTTTTTTCCTAAGACCAGCAGTTATACTTTATACAAAAGATGAGTTAATCCTTATTTTTAAATGCCATTTAAAGAAAAAAAAATGCCTCTTTTCTTTACTCTGGACCCAGTAGCTGCACTGGCATACAATCGCACTGATAGATATGGGGGGGAAAAAAAGTATAACTAATGATGATGATGATAAAAAAAAAAAAAATGAAAAAACTACAATAAATTTGTTTGAAAACTTTTTTTGTAAAAAAAAAAAAAAAATGTACAAAAAAGTAAACACAATGACTGTTTTTGTATATCGAGTTAATTCTTTTCAAAACAAAAAATATTTTGGACCTAGTTTCTAAATTATTTTAGTGGTTTTCAATGTTCTGGAACTTTGCGAAGATGAGTTTTGAACGTGCCCTTCGATGACTGACAGCTTGCAGTGTTGTCATTGCGGGCACCGGGGTTGCCTGGTGTAGCCCCGAATGCCCACCACTTTTTGTTTCCGTTTTTCAGTTTGGATTCTTTCTTCTTTTCAGAACTTAAAATTGTTAAAGTAACGACTTGGCGAAAAAAAATATATAGAAAAACAACTCTCCCTGTAGAACTAGATCCTTTACCCCACTGAATTGCTGTTAGTGTGATGAGACTTGAAATGGGCATTTATTATGAATATGGTAGTATGGCTCCAAAAAAAGACAATGTACACAAAAAAAAATGTGTGGAGGTGGGGGGGTGGGGGGCAAACAGATGGGTTATATGTGGGTATGTGAGCTATGGCTGTGGCAATGATAACGTAGTTTTAAAACATTATTGTTATTACCTTTTAAATCATTTATCCAATAAAAATAAATTCTGAAAGAAGCATTGGGTATGTCTTTTTATGCTTCACACTTTAGATTTTTTTTTTTGAGAAACCAAGACAATCGTCATCAATGTTACATGTTGGAGAAGACCTTTAATATAGACCATAAAAACATATGTACATAAATGACACCAAGACAGACAAGTTTCCCGTTCAGTCAAGATACATTGAAATGAGAGTGATTCCCTTAGATAATACCATCAGTAGAGTGTGTGTGTACTTCAGCAACTAGCAAATGGAATCAAACGGACACTTTAAGCCAACAGAAGATATTTTGTGGAAGCTAATAACTTCAGCTAAAACTTTAGTTCTATTTACATACAAAAGAAAGAGACTGCCATGGGCTGGAAACACTCTGGAAAATCTCCTAGACATACAGTACCACTACATTTACACTTTCCACAACAGCTCTACAATACTAACAAAATGTCATTTTGTGACGGTCTCTTAAAACCGCCTCACCAGCGAGCAAGGAAATGCAGCGTTTATAACCGCACATTCAGCTATTCGGCAAACGAGTACAAGGAACTGGGTTGGCCCCCTGTTGAGTGTAACTAAAGAAGGCAACTTGAGAAGAAAGGTTACGTGTGTTCTGAGTTCAGCGAGTGTTCATTTTGCCAAGCACTAAAAAAACAAGGCAAGGTTAATGTTGCTCGAGTCCGGCTCCTATGGTGTTAAAACAGTCTTCCGATCTAATGATCCAGCTTTGAGAAACCAGGTTGGGACTAAACAACAAACAGAAAAAAAAGTGCTAAAGTTGTATATCTCTATGTACTACACTTTTGTCTAGGATGCTGGACAAGTTCCAGTTGAGGTTTTGTCCATGTAAGACTGCTGATAAAAACACTAGTCCAACTTCTTGTTGCGTAGACGTGCTATATCCAGTAAATAGCGGCACGTGGGAGCGGTGTGCTGCGAGAGGATGGTCAGAGCCTTGCCGTGCACTAATGTCAGGGCAGTCTGGTGGCCCGTCGCCCATACTCGGTACCATGGTCCATAGAAGGGGTCAGAGACAGCAGGACACAGCATGTTATTCAGATTCACTTCTGTCAACTGGTGAGAAGCAAAATACAAGACTGAGTTAGCATAGGGCCACAATTTGCGTTATTGTTCAATTCTCACTATTAACTAGTTGTTTAATAGCATGCATATTACTAACATATTGGCTGTTTATTAGTATTTATAAAGCACATATTAATGCCTTAATCTGCATGATCATATTTTAGATCCCTTAAAGGGGGTCATATGATGCGATTTCAATTTTTCCTTTCTCTTTGAAGTGTTACAAGCTCTTGGTGCATAAAGAAGATCTGTAAAGTTGCAAAGACTAAAGTCTCAAATCCAAAGAGATATTCTTTATAAAAGTTAAGAGTCAACCACGCCTACCTAAAACGCCTCGTTCTAACATGGGCGACAGTTTTTTGAACCTAGAAGAGTACAAGGCTGGCTGTGCACAAAGGCTATTTCTAAAAAAAAAAAAGTCAATTCCGACTTTGCTATGACAATCTGGCGCTTCTGAATCAGCGACTGTAAGTAATAAAATATTAATAATAAATTTTTTTGGTGTTTTCTAATAATTATTCGAAAAGGTGAGACCTTTTTTCACACTTTCTACTTAGCATTTCTTTCATAATAAAAACAATAATAATATATTTTTAATAATAATTATTATTATTATGTATTTTTATTATTACTTGTATTAGTATTATTATGTATTATGTTTTATTGTTGTTTTCTAATAAAACAATAAGCCCTGTAAATCCATGGTTTGCTGTGATTATTTTATTATTTGTTAGGCACGATGCAGAGTGTTAGACGTTCTAAAATCACTGTAAACCACAACTTCATGGGGCTTATGGTTACTACATATACCTGACAAGGGTTCATAAAATGAACACACCGCAACAACAAAATAATAATACTGATACTACTGCTAATAATAATTTATTTATGATAAATAACAGTGCTTCTCCCGGGCAATGTAATTCAGGTGTGTGTTTATAGGTTATTTTACAATGGCTTAAAATAATTATTGGTAACACTTTAGGGATCAATTCTCACTATTAACTAGTTGTTTAATAGCATGCATATTACTAACATATTGGCTGTTTTTTAGTATTTATAAAGCACATATTAATGCCTTAATCTGCATGATCATATTTTAGATCCCTTAAAGGGGTCATATGATGCGATTTCAATTTTTCCTTTCTCTTTGGAGTGTTGCAAGCTCTTGGTGCATAAAGAAGATCTGTAAAGTTGCAAAGACTAAAGTCTCAAATCCAAAGAGATATTCTTTATAAAAGTTAAGAGTCAACCACGCCTACCTAAAACGGCTCGTTCTAACACACCCCCACATACCTACGTCACGATCTGGGAAAATTTGCATAACGCCGCCCAAATGTTCAAGCAAAGAAAGAAGGCGTAACTTTTATTCACGTTGTAAAGCATGTCAACATATTCTGTTACACCAAATACACAAAATAATGATCTTTAAAATAGCATCATATGACCCCTTTAAAGGGTTAGTTCACCCAAAAAGGAAAATTCTGTCGTTAATTACTCATGCTCATGTCGTTCTAAACCCGTAAGGCCGCCGTTCATCTTCGGAACACAAGTTAAGATATTTTTGATGAATTCTGAGAGCTCTCTAACCCTCCCAAAGACAGCAATGTAATTACCACGATCAAGGTCCAGAAATGTAGCAAGTAGATCGCTACGATCTACAATCTACACCTCTTTTCTTAAAGTCGATCAGTGTTATTCACTTGACCTTTCAGTGGTTTTAATGTTGTGGATGATCAGTGTATATTGCAGCCAAAAACTGGAGATGAGTCAGAACATAACATGCCATAAACGTCTTGTAATAACATAAAAAATAAAATGAAAATGTAAAAAGTACACACTTGTAGGGTATCACACAAGGCTAACTAAACCATTTGAAATATAGACATTGATTGTGAAGTTTCAACATTTTCTCGTTAAAACTGGCGACTACACATTTGACAGTAATGCAAGCGGAAATTTGATTAAACTACCGAACGGAGCCTGATGTGACGACTTGCAGATTGTAATAAAGGTCTATTAGCAAAACTGTCAGCTTTTACTGTGAGTTTTATCTTGAGGTTGTAATACTGTCACAGAGGACCAGGAGTCTAAAAACCCTCACACTCATAACCCTGTAATGCCTGACATATGAAATAATAGACAGAAAAGTTCAATAAAAAGACACAATTTTAGTAACAAGAATATTATTCAAGTAAAACTCTACGTATGTTTTTAATGATAAAAATCACCTAACGAGTCAGTCTGACTTTTTTCTCAGACTTTCGTGATATAAACTCACAATTGTGAGAAATAAAGTCAGAATTGCAAGATACAGTACATACTCTTTTTTTTTTTTCTTCACAATTGCGAGTTCACGGTTTAGTTCTTGGAATTCGTACTTTTTTCGTGCAATTGTTTATATCTCGCAATTTTGAATTTTTTCCCCTCAAAATTCGGAGTTTTTTTTCTCACTATTAGAAAAGTCAGACTGATTGAGATATAAACTCAAAATTTTGAGTTATAAAGTCCAATTCTGAGGAAAAAAACTATTTTGTTGCAATTCCAAGTTTATGCAGTATATCTAATATTGACTATTTCTCCGAACTGCATTTATATCATGCAGTTTTGACTTTATAACTCGCAATTTCGAATTTATATCTCAATCTTCATTTTTTTTTTTTTCAGAATTGCGAGTTTAAACCTCACAATTCTGGCTTTTTTTTTCTCGCAATTGCGAGTTTACATCTCGCTATTCTGACTCTTTTCCCTACAATTGCGAGTTTACATCACACAATTCTGAGAAAAAAAATCAATTGCGAGAATAGGGCTGCACGATTATGACAAAAATCATAATTGTCGATTATTCCCTTGAAATTGCGAGAATAAAAATTCTGAATGATGAGAAAGTTGCAATTACCTTTTTTTAATTTTTTATTCCGTGGCAGAAATGGGCTTCCATATATAAACTTAACTCCTATGAAAGCTCTAGAAAAATGCCATCAAATTTGCGCTGCGTAACGTACTGCTTACTGTACCACTTAAACACACACACAATGCTTTGAGGTCATGTGACAAAGCAGTGGAATGTTGTAGAACAATGTCTACCGTTTCAGCATGCAGTGTATACTACGCAGTAAGTAGTAAGCTAGCATTCCATTTCTAACACAGTCATAAGCTACCAACTCTTTCTATTTCGTCCATATTTGTATGGTAGAAATACAAAGTAGAATACTAGTATGCCTTTCTGATTTTCACAATAGTGTTTG